AACAAGTGGAAGGGTGCTTGCTTAACTTGTATACATTAAAATGCATCTCAGGAGCATTGTTCAGAATAAAGTCAGTCAGGGTTTACATCTTGCAGAGGTTATGTATCCAGTCATGCAAATGAATATGGTTTAAGATGAGCCCTCCTCCCAGCTGTTCCTGACTGGAGCATAGCTTCAGGCCAGCTCCTCCTGACAGAAGGAATCCTCTTCAACAGGCTGCTGTCTGTGTGGCCTACAGAGTTTGTGCAGACTTACTAAAACAAAACAAAAAAAAACAATCATGATTCAAAACTTTATTAAAGGTCCACCTAGTTCTATTTGATGTAAAAACTAAATTCACTGCAAAATGATCTTACAACTGTGAACTCAAGGTCAGTATGTTGACAGCTGCTAACCACGATTAACCATCTTCTTCTCTCACTTCAGTCTCCGTGAGGTTTAACGTAGCCTACTGAGTGGAAAATATAAGGCCAAAAAATGTGCAGCTGTAGTTTTTTTTTTATCGACACTCCATCGGTCCCAGCCTATAGAAGCGGAGGAAATGCAGCATGGGAAAGTAGGTTAAAGTTCAAGGCAGCGCTGCAGTCCGTTCCCACAGCGCAGGAGCCACCGTGCTCTGGAGATGGTCCTCACCTCTTAGCACTGTTACAGCTCAGCAAACCTCACTGCTGTCTAAGCCTTGCTAGTGAGGGATATTTGTCATCATTTGTGGCGACACGGTGGAAACAGAGCAGAGGGCGATGTTGGGGCAGGGTTTAGGGGTTACAGGTCACCAGGCTTCTCAGTTTCTTTGACCCGCGGCGCAGAATGGAGGAGGGAGACATGGGTTAATACGTTGTAGTGCAGTTTGCAAACTCTTGAGTTTGTAGGTAAAGTATTTTTCTGCCATAGGAGAGCTCTAAATGTGATGTCAAAATGCTAGGAATATCGTATTTGTGAGAAGATTTAAGAACGGCATCCGCTATGGCGCTTCCACCCCCACAAAGAAAGAGACGACGAAAACGATGCGCTCACAGTTTTCATTGATACCAAAAGTTTTTGTTTGTACAAAGGCGTGGCAAGGGGTTCTACACCGGATGCAACATCTGCAGGCCAAGGTACATATCACCACTGGAGTTTCAGTGGACTCATTCAGTTGTATTAACCTTAAATCCAATGCCATTCCATCTGGAGCTTTTGTGTTTGTTCCACCATAGACGGACACATGTGGCCAGTACACTGCTGAAGATGTGTTTGTTTTTGTTTCATAAAGTCTTAATAATCTGAAACATTCTTTGGTTTTAATTATATCGCGGCTAAACCGCGGAACCGAAAATAGGGAGCATTGTCAACACCTCTTATGCTTTAGTCTTAATCTATTGGATGACTTTTTAACAGGGGACACACACACATCTCATCAGGGGGACACTTTTAGACACAAGA